GAAGGCCTATTGATGCTATTTTATGAGCGATTTAATTATCAGTTTTTTTATTCATAAACTAAATAGGGTTCGAAGAACTAAATAATGAAAAACAACTTTGCATTTGTGAATGATACTCAATAGAGGACGAGGTTCATTTGAGCATTATTCTCTTAACTTTTGTATGCTCGGTTTACTCTTTCTTAGTCCTTAATTATAAATAAACTTGCGTTTCGCGTGCTTGCCTATTGAATAAGAGTTTTACTTGTTTCACTTTGGAGTTTATCATTGTTATACACATATTCTATTAATGTATTGATTTTTCATCAGTTGAACAGTCTTATAAGCATGCATTTTCTATAGAGCAGCTTCGAAAATCAAGTATGAACAACCGCATCCAACCACAGTCTATCTGTCTTGTGCCCTTGGCCCTTAGAAAGGCTAATGTATTATTATCCTTAACTTATGATATCAAACTTAAATCCAAGTTTAAATCATCTTGTTCATAAGAGAAAGCTTTAAAGGCTCAGTAATGTCTAATCTTTGAATAATCTCGATATCTGGAGCTTAATCGAAGGTTGTGAAAAGGAGATCGGATTGAATATACACAGAATCCTTATTGGGGAGACTTTCTATTCGTATTAAAGTGCATTAAGAGGAGATTCGAAGTTTGATCTTACCAGTAGACGACGGCTGATTCCCGTTGTACTGTGGGTTTTGGGCCCTAATACCACGTTCAAGTTGACGCAGTCCATAAGACACACTTCTTCGTTTCAAGGGAAAATGGGCTGAGCTCTCGTCCATCATACGATGGATACTAGGACCTAGTGTTAACCAGGATGAGTTCCAGCTATGATGATGTCTATAATATGACACCCGAAATGAAGTAGGATGTCTCGTGGACTGTGTCACTCTGAGCGTCGTATTAAAGCCCAAAACCTGCAGTACAACGGGAATTTGCCGTCGTCTTCTCGTGAGACCGACCTTCGAATCTTTTCTTCATGTACTTTCATATAAAATGAAAGTCTCCTCAACAATTTTCTCACAGGAAATTCATCGAAACTCTATCACTCTTTGTATCTACAGTACATTCATCTTCCCTACAGGTTGTTGATTTTAACTCCCGACTATTAATGCAACAAAGATGCGATCATAATCTATCAAAAGATCGCCTTCCATCTGTTGCATTGTATGCCTTCTTTATTTTTATTTTATTGTTATTCGTCTTCCATAGCAGAGATGAGGACCAAGATGGCCTTGGGTTTATTTGTGGTCTCATCAGCAGTGTTGATTTGATCTCGTAGTCCCAACTTGCTGGGCAGCAGGGAGACCTCGTGGAACGTACCTAATCATGTGTCCTCTAAAATGGTATATCCCCGGACTTTTTAAGGAAATAAATAAAATAATAGGACAATTTAGGCCGTTTATTTCCTCACTAGCGGTTTTAGGTAAAGCCAGATACAGGGCTCCAGAGGATGCGAGAGAGTCAAGTGGAAGGGGAGAACAAAAAAACCGGGACATAGGGTTTCTTAAACCTTGATGTGAAAAGGGCTGCAGATGCGAGAATCACGATTTGAGAGCACCTCTTGCCAAGTCTCAAACATATTCTATCATACTTTCTGGGCCATTTATGTGGCAAGATCCGTGAATATTGTAGCGGGACAGTCAATTTTCTAAACGAAATATGGTGAATACCTCATATAAAGTCAATTTTATTGGCGCATCATAAGTGCTCTTGTAGAAGCTCGTTTGACTTGGCTTATAATTCGATACTGGGTGAGTGCGGTCCTCTTGGCCCTTGGGATTCAATCGATTTTTTCATGACGCATACTCCAGACGGAGCGACTCGGTTGTCGTTTTCCTGTGGAAGTAGTATTAGTAAAGGCTGGCTTGATTGGGTTACGATGCTGACTGTGGTCCTTCTGGCCCATAGAGAGCCAGAGATCTGAACTTCTCTACTGGCGATTAGTTAGAACACGACGTCGAGGTGGTGCAGAAAGTCGCCATCGTCCCGAGAAAGCCGGTAGATATTTCTATTTATACGAAGATTTGAGGACCAAGGTCGTGTGACCTTTTTTGTGTGTTGTGGTTCAACATTAAATTTAATCAGAGTAAGCAGTACCACAACATTTGTGGATTGACATATAAGAGGCCAGGGCATAGCAAGTCATAGACTTGGTATTACGGGTAGAAGCAGATTAGATGCGGCGGAGACTAGAGCCAGTTGGCTGACAGTATGTCTGTTTTACTATAGTCGTGACCCATGCAATAAAGGCTTGACCATGAGAATTACTCGGGGTCTTTAGCCTTAAGTTAGTCTAATAGACGCAGAGTGTGGTAAATAACGTCTCGTGGAGCACAGATGTGGTGACAGGGGTGGAGTGAAATACTTGAACCATGGATATAGCAAACGGATCTTACAGGGCAAGAGGGAGACTTTGATAAGACATAGGGAAGGAGGACTGCGTAAGAATATTGCAGACTGATCAACATTCCCAGCACAAGAGTGAAAGGGGGTGAGAACTCCAGTGTGGAATGTGGAGGTTTCTCATGAAAGCTGCCAAAAAGGGCACACCACACTACATTTAAATGAGCAATGAAAAAGAAAAATATAGTGATAGTTACGGCGTGATACGAGGATATAGGAGAGGTGAATAGCCCAGAACAGGAGGGATACCACAACTGTCTAGCACACATTTGATCAAGGGATCGGCTTCACTTGTCTCTTTTATGAGTTGTAATATGGTGCTAAGAGTGGCAAGACACACTGCCGATGCCAGCGAGAGGTCTGGGAATGTACCACGTCCACGGTTCGACACTGGAAACTATCATGCATGCAATGGACTCCCAAATAGGCGCGTTCTTCTAAGTCTTCCTACCAATATGACCAAGTTGCGAAAACAAGGTCAGACAACTTTTATTTCTTTTTATACATTGTGAGCTTGGAAAGACGCTTTTCATTTGTGTGGGGGATTGATCTGAATTTTATGTCAGGACGCGGAGTATAGTTAACCTGATGCTAGGTTCAGGAACAGGTTAAGTGAATATCGTTGATCGGGACTTCATGGGGTAGAGATTGTGAGTGCTTGCTGCACAGGAATTCTGTGTGGGATATTCTACTTTGTGAGCTAGTGCATTTGTCTTAGTTTACTGGGCTGATTGATCATGTCTAGAAAATTTAATAATATATGAACAGGACAGAATCACTGACGGAAAGGACCAACGACTTCTATGTGGGCCGAAGTAGGCGCTGAGGTAGAGTGAACTGTTGTGGCGCCACCATCTTGGTTAAGTTGGTCGTGAGGCTAATCATCGGCCTAAATAATTTGCGGAGCACCGGAAAATCTAGGAGAGTAAAGAGTAAATAATATCTCGGGCTATGAACTGAGAAGATAGTGTTGAGGTGACGTGGTAGTGACAGAGGCGCGTTGATGTGGCGCGTTGAAGTGTATTATGCTAGGCGTTGTTCTTGCTACATTGTACACTTCTGATTTTACAAAAAAGCCATTTACGAACAATTAACCCAGGCCATATACACCTTAATTCTATCTGGGTGCCCTAATACCAAGCATATGGACGCCTTCGCTGACAATTGTGGTGAGTATCCGTATTGATAACACACGCACATGCACACACACACACACAATTAAGTGTTCATAATACTGTGTTTATACAAGACGTTGAATAGTCAGAAGTAATTATGATCTGTCTCACATGAATGAGGGAAAAAGAACATTAAAAAGTATAATTTCTTCGAGGACTAGAAAGGAATGCATATAAATCAAGAATCATACTAAGCAATATTAAGCTACTTATCGTTTTTTATCCTCATTTTTATTCTTGTGTTATCTCCAAATCTCGATTTATTTTTAGCTACATCAGACTACAAATCCGATTGCGATGGCATCAACTTTCTCCACAAACTCTGTTTTCCTATCTGCTTGTTGTGACTCGAAGCAACCAGAACCTCTCCCTCCACCTTCACATCCGACACACCCTCCTTCAATTCCTCACAACCTTCCGTCTCCACCGCTGTCGCCGCATACCAACGTCTGCTCTATTCACGGCTCTCTATCTTCTTCAAGTAGATCTTCAGTGACACAAAGTAGTCTATCTCCGCCCCATTATCTTACAACTACTTCGACCCACTCATTATCACACCAACGTCAGAATCCATCCCGCCAACAAGATGGGCATCAAGCGCATCACCAACACTCTTATTTGAATCACATTCATCAGCAGCAGCACCCGCTGCTACCACAATCAGTCGACTTGCAAGAGTTTTCTTCGGACCAATCATTTGGGACCTTTTCAGGCGCTGACCATCAGTCTGTCTGGTCACATCATCGTCCATTCGTTTCCCATGTTCCCTACTCAATCCAGCATAATACTTGTACCGCCCCTTTCAGATCGGAACAATCAACATCTGGTAGCCATCTTCATTTTGAACCCGATCTGCCTGGCATCTCTACTTCTAATTTTTCATCCGCTTCGTCTTTCCCACAACTGGCTGCCACAACGACATTGACAGATGTTGATAATGGGCGCGCGCCTTCACAACCAACCATCATCACACTGCCAGCTGTATCTATGACGTCACAATTGTCAATCCAACCATCTACGCCATCACAACACATGCAACATCACTTAGACCATTCCACACCCGACTGTCATGTTAGTAGGCTGGAGGCTTCCAACTACTCTCATATATCTTCTGAATGTACAGACGGAGCGAAGCGATCTGAGACCATGTATCCCTTAGCGCCAGATAGAGAAGAATTTGATCATCTCCAGCATCGACACCAGCCAAATTATCAGAATGTGTCTCCTTTTGGCCACCATCAACAGAGGCACCAACATGAGCAATTAATCACCAATCGACAATCTTACCTTCAGGAACAGCAAATAAAGCACCCACTGCAGCATCAGAAGCTCCTGGGAGAATTTCAGCAAGTGATAATCAGGGAATATGAGTCCGTCTATCAAGCACCCATATTTTCTGGACAAGCAGACGAACATAAGATGGCCGGTAAGGATGTATATGAAATAAAAGGGGTAGTGGTAGTACGACAGCACAGGATTACAAATTCACGAAAGGGGATTAAATTTAATGAAGGAAAGTTCGAAATGCATTACACTGAATGCGACTATCGAAAAAGCTATACAGGGTATAGCAAGCGATAAATGAAGAGGATATTCCTAAATAATTGTTAGAAAAAAAGCCAGAGAGCATGATATACGATCACTAAACCATAACGAAACATATGATAACAGACTAGTTTGGCCAAGGCACTCTCTTTTTCATTCATTAATGGGGCAAAAGTCCTAAAATAATGTTGGCTCCAATTTTGGTCCTAAAAGCACAGCTTGGCCATGATTAACCTGAGAGAGGATGATGTATATGGAAGGAGTATCAGCCCTAGTACTCCTTCCCACCCCTTTCTATTCGTTAAATTTGATGATATTTTTTGCATTTAAACGTGAATTTGTTAGAATAAATAAGTAATTGCAGTAAAGTGATAATAATCTCATAGATACCTCATGCGTCTTTGTATCTTGCTAGTTTTACTTTTGAGTCAAGCTGCTTTCTTGCTAGTCCTAGTCACTCAGTCGTTGTTAAACTCATTTCCATTTCTAGTAAAGTGAAGAAATTCTAGAGTTGATCCCGCCAGAATACCGTAGAGGATTCCTCTTTACCAGCTGTCGTTTGGCTTTATTATAGTGTTCTTGTTAACGCTGCTTCCGAGGCAATTTCCTTCGATTCCAATAAAATCA